AAAAAAAATCAAAACCGATGAACGGTTGTTACTCATTGTCTTCATCCATCTCTATCTCCAATAATACAACACTCGTTAGATATAGCAGTTTGCACATGATTACAACGTTGAACATGAACCATAAGATAGCCATCACTGCTAAGGTATCTTCAGAAATCTCTAAATCTAATTCTTATTTAAGGTACTGCAAAGCATTTTTCTTCTACTAAAAATCTCACGAAATATGATGCGTTGTTCTGTAGGACTAAAGACATGGGTTACATCCTCGATACCATTTCTGGAAGTATCGTCCTTCTCGTAATCTACAAACTTATTTATTCGTAGGAAATCAATTATTTCCAAATTACTGACCTTCGATTACATCATTCAACAGAGACATGAACATGTCTTTTTCTGTAATAAGTTAATTAAGCACTAGAAATGATTGATTTTAATCTTTTCTGCACACTTCTTTTCCCGTAGTTTATTAAATTTTAAACAAGTAATGAAACAATGAAAGCTTTTTTTCAAGTCTGGCCATCGTTATTTCATGTCTTTTAAGTTTTCTTGGACTTTTGAGCTGAGAATTAGAATTCACGCTCAAAAAAACTTCGATTGATTGCTGTCCTTTTTCATGATTTACTGCAAAAATTTATTTGTTTCTACAGCAATTTCTTGAACGCTTACTTAATTGTTAAAAAAATTGTTATTGCTTAAAGCTTATTTCCATTTTCATAGAAATTGACCTTTGCAGCCGAATCCGATGTGGTTCCTCCAATGGATGTCGGTTAGTTAGGTTATAGATCCTTCGCTATCGAAGGCTTCACCTAACTGGAGAAATATCGGGAAAGTTGAAATCTTTTGAAGAAAGTCTTGGAAATTTTTGCAACAAAATATTGTCTCTCCCAGGTAAAAAAAGTGGGGACTTGGCTTAACCAGTGCTGGAAAGCCACCAGCGTTTCCTCTAAAATGGCTCCTCTATTCATCTAAACATAACAAGAGTATCTAAAAGTTCAGGTAATAGCTGAAATTTATCCTGGGGGTGTTACGTATTAGATATGTGAGATTATGTCAGGTAGAGATTAGATGAGTGAAAAAGGAAAGGCAGGCAAAAAGAGAAGCGACCTTCCAATTTACAGCTATATTAAAAAAAAAACAGAAGAACGCGCAGGCATACACTAAGATTGACATAAAAAGCGATAAGAGCAAAACATGAAGGAAGGGTTAGGACCAATTATGCAGAGTTGATCAATGTGGTTTAGATTTCTTAAAGAGAAGGGTTCTTCTAGTTACCACCGGGGAGGCGGGAGGAAGGGAGGGAGGGAGGGGTGCGTGGGAAGGAAGAAGTGCAGTGACGAGCGGGCCAAAAGCGGGTTACGTTGATGTTGCTTTTCTATAATGCAAATTTTTGGATTTTCTACAATGTTTCGCATCAGAGATGTATGGCTAACCTTCGTGTGGAATGACCTAAAGAACCAAAACTGAACTTGTAAAGTAATCTCTACCAATCCCACGGAATATGACATCCTCTATGTAAGATAAATGAGAAGCCTTTTGCTAATCTTGTGACTCAAAAGCAATGGGATGTCGATTGCTTGTTTTAGTCGACCTAAACTCCATCTCTCAGCTTAAAAGCCAAACACAACTAGAGGGCTTGAAAAGATGGATGAAGTTTTTAGAGCAGGAAAGAAGGCTTTTAAGCTAAACATCGTTTGGCTAAGATGAAAAGTTGCGGGAAAAAAGCGTTTGAAAATAATTCAGCTTATGTAAGGCTTTATGCTGAGTAAACGAATTTACTATCCTTTATCAATTTCACTAGTATATCACCCAAATCTTATCTGAATAAGCCGTCCCCTCAAAGTTCTGTTAGGAGAACCAACTTACGGCGCGTCGTACGTGGCCACCCCTAGTTCCCTAATTCATTAGAATGCGTTGCGGCGCCCCAGCTGAATGCCTATTTGGCATAGATTGGTTCTGTCCCAGCTTTGCCCTGCTTTTTTTCAAACTCTAACTTGCTTTCTTTCTTGGCTGAAGATGGTCCTGCCGCGCCGCGGACGTGTCTTGCTCCCAATAGAGCTTTTAAAGTGAGGATTTCTGCAGGAAATCAGAGTAGTAAGTTAGAATGACTTACCCTGTAGATGTTTAACAGGACACGGTTGAATCTGAAACAGAAAGATAAACACTTTAACTTTACAAGTACTTCATTTATTATTTGAAAATTACAGCGGATAAGTTGTGTATGAGCAAGTTGAAATTTGCTTATTTGCTGCATTGTTCCCTATTCTGTATAATTCTAATTATTGTGATGTCTCAGAAAAGAGCAGTTACGAGACAAATACTTGAGAACAATAAAAGCGGAACTTTCAGGCTTGTTTATACAAGAGCAAGGCATGATTATGTCAAGCAGCATAACGCCATTAGAGCATCTTTACATAGAAAAAGCTAGAATCGCAAAATTGCTTACGTCGCCATAATTGGTGCTACGATGAGAATATTCCTTGTAGCTGCTTTGTTCCTTTTCGCATAATCCCAGCATCGTCAAATTTGGATGAGTCGTGTTCTGATGAAGTTACACTTCTCAACTATATAGCATCATTTTTAAAGACCACTTTCGTATGAAGCCGCGCCTCCCCGTGTTCGTGTTTAAGACGGCTTACTATTTTGGTGTCCTTTCGAATTAGCTGGTTTATAACTTATTCGATTCACTCATAACGTAAAACCAGTTTGGGAAACAAAATTTTACACCCAACATCGCTAATACGCAATGCAACGACATTTCCAGCTCATTATCATCTCGCTCTTTGGGTTAGTGTCCTCTTAAAAAGCATTTCAGAGCAGTGTCCGGGCAAGACTAGGATCGTGAGTTCTCATAAGATAATGATAGCCAACACTCCAACTAAGCTTACTCAAATTCAAGCTAATTCGCCATGGAGGCATGCGATCGTTTTGGGATCCAAAGCCGAAAAGAAATTGCCGCTTTTCCACTTGTCCCTGTTAATTTAAAGAGGATCAAAATCTCTGTTGTTCGACAGTTTTACGATAATTGAAGTTGCTATTCATGTCCAACGCACCGAAATGGCCCAGAAAAAGTGAAGAATTCGAAATTGAAAACTTGCCCAGACACTGCCATAACACTGTACAACAGTGCCTTGTGCGCTCTTCTATCAAACAAAATTAGATGCTGTAAAGTTCAGCCAAAGTCAAATCGCTAGATCGTAACGGCAAACTTATCTAGTATACTTATTCTTTGGCCTTAGATACGCCTCATACACGGCCCGCCTAGGATACATTCCTTAACTCACTATTCTCTTACCCATCTATAAAGTCATTCATTTACCGATCACTAACTCATTCATCGTCCATCCATTCCTAATCACACATTCGTTTATAAATCCATTCATTCATTCGCCTATCCAATCTCTGTTCAATCATTCATCTATCAATCACTCAATCATTCCATAGCATTCACTATTTCATTCATTCATTCATTCATCCAATCATTCATATATTCGATATACAGCCCATTCATCCGCTGCACTTTTATTTATTTATTTACTTACTTAACTGTATGTTTATTAATTCCTCATTTCGCTCAATCAATCGTTTATTTATCGCTCGGTCATTTGTTCACTTCCATTCACTCATTCATTCCTTCATTAGTTTGGTCATTCATTCATTTATTCACCTTCACCATTCTCCATTTTTCATACGTCAATGCTCAGCATTAGCCAATGATGTCTATTGTTATCTCCATCCTTTTCTAACAGAATTTCACGAATTTCTGTTTTCAAATCGCTTTTCAAAATTGAATTACCAAAGAGGAAAATTTGATGGTTCAAAGGTTTTCAAATGTTATTACATCGTCTGGAAGAATTGCAGTGTGATTTGCATCAGACAGCGATAGGCATCGGTCTTTACAGGTGCAGATAAGCTTCTTATTCTCTTCGTCTGTCCAGCATTGATTATCAGTATCCTGAATTATAGGAAAGTGCATAATTTTTTTTAATCTTGGCTCAAACTTTGCTGATGAGATTATTTTTCACATCTTTAGATGCTCAGTCGTAAGAGCATCGAAAATCCTGTTTCTTTGTGTCATATTACGTCTTTCCACAATGAAGAAAACAGAGCGTACGTATAAAATGATGTCAATGACTTTTTTGATAAGTAAACAAAGTTGGAGGAACTGGTCTGTCGTTTCGAATCCGGAAGCCGAGAGCGACAAGCAAGAAGCCAGAATGGAGAACTAAACATCGTACACAAACATGCAATCTAGTACTTATGAAATTCCGAGATTCTCATCGGATAACTAAAGCCGTTTCTTTGACAGCTATTCCTCAAGCCTAGGCAAATAGATTGTTATCCCGTCTCTTTTAGGTTATCCCGCCCACTCAGCGATATCCTCCTCAGCACCATGTTTGCCTTTCCAGAAGCGGAGCTCTCTCAATCGTCTATTTTGCTTCGCAAACAGTAGTTAAAAATTCGAAATCGCCCCCTTGCCACTCTTCCCATGGTCCCCGTCAATTTAAAGAATGCTTGAGATTCCTTTTTTTGAATTTCCTCGGAAGTCCAGAAAAGGTGGGAAACCAGAGCCGAAAATTTGCACGGATACGTGAGATTCATAAAGTAAGCGCTTTCTAGCGGCTTACAAACTCTCTGAAAGAGAGGTGACGCACTGGTGCAATGAATAAATTATTGACTAGAAATGAGGTTCACATACATTGTGCGATTGTCCGCGTTATACTAGTTAACTACAATGTTGCGCATAAAAGATGCTGATGACCAGCTTGTTCAGCAATAGATTTTATCGGTTACTACTTACATACCTCCATAATTTCTTTTAGGTAAATGCTTCACGAACCAAACAAAATTTAAAATCAGTGTTTTGAGTCGCTTTTTTGTAATGCCACATTATGCTATCCTTTACATTTTTTAAATTATAAAGCGTTTACATGTGAGAGACTAGGAGATTCCTTGTTCTTGTTGAGAAAATGAATGATTGAAGTGACGATGAATTGAGGTAAATGTGCACCCTAAATTACAAGGAGATTGATAGCAACGATAGCTTTTATGGTCTCCATAGCGAGTCTTTTTATGCACCAGCAATGTATGCTATCAATAACGTTCTTTTGCCATTCATACCATAAGTTGGACAACACCGCATAATGTCAGCTTTGACCAAAGATTATGATGGTTCCTTTGCCAGGTACTAGCATCACAAAACAAATGTTGGCTTTCATTAGGTAGGCTCCAACAGGTTGCCCATGATTTTGGCTGCATGCTTAAAAGACTAGTGCAGTCCTAGATTTCTGAAGAGATAGCCTGATTGAAATGTTGAATAAACAAGTCTATGAAACGGCATGCTTTAGCAACACAAGTTTTTATTTCCATGTTCTGGACAACTTAGCA